CCCCCCAAAGTTTTCAGCTTCCAAGCTCTCCTACCTCCTGAAATAATAATTTCCCGCAAAAACTTTTACGGCGCCGTATGTGGTAGTCAAGCGGATGGGACTTCATGTACTTGTTGTAAAACAATGTTTCTGTAATTAGCAAACGAGGCGACTGATGTCTCATTTTAAAAGATGTATGCAAAAGCAAACACTCATTTCAATTAGCCTACAACAACATTTCGAATGTGACGAAGCATTCTACGGGCGCTGAATACATCAACAAATTGCCTCCCTTCCACCCCTTTGCTACACGTCACCTTCCTCCGCCGGCCTTTCCTTCTAACACCTGCGCTAATCTTTGTGCTACAGCTCGATAACTGCAAGAATCGGTGCGAAGAAAAGGAAAATTCGGAGAATGAACGGAGGCGACAAACACCGGCAAAAGGAAGCAAGAAGGGGGGCGTCTCAAAAACTAAATGCCCCCGAACTGAGGATGACCGCTTCTCGCCATCAGAGAGCACTCTAATTGCTGCATCGATGGAGTCGACATTTCGTGCGCCGCCCTTCGAACTGTGTATGTGTTTGTTTGTGTGTGTGTGTTCAAATGAAACGGATTTGAGGGAGCACTACTCGCTGCTGCTTGGACATAGCCGCCGCCAGTTTTTAGAGCCCAAAAATTAGGAGCGGGGTAATGCAGTAGTTCATTGCTGTGTGTACAGATCGGGCTGCACACGTTCCCCTAATCCACCAATCAAAGATGTCCCGATAATCTGTTCTTTACGGATGCAGGAATCTCATTGCGTGAAGGCATCTGGCAAAAACCACAATGTTTCTATGACTCGACTTAATGTCCTACTACCGCTGCTGCGCATGGAAATGCTGCTTACAAAGTAGCATGAAGGTCAGATGTGTTTCGAAAAGACGACTGGAGCGCACCAGACTCGCCGGTGCGATCATGCCTACTGCACTAGACTTGAAGCAATGAGGTTCTTATTAACTGTATGAATGGTTTTTGCTACACACTTATCTTTTGTACTCGTTAGCGTAAATCAACGTATATTCTGCATAAAGGAAAATGAACAATTTCCGTTTAAAGATCGTTATTTAAAAAAGACCTAGTTGTTCAATGAGCAGTTTTCCCGCCAAAAATTTTAGGCGCTCGTCCGTGAGAATCACGCACACCTGACAGCTGAATCTGAATACGTAGACAGGGGGCATCCTCTCAAAATTTCAGCTTTCCACCTTATCTGATTTCCGAGATCGCTTTCCGGCTAAAAAATCTGCATATTTTTTGAGGCGTCTGTACGTAAGACCAAGCGTACGTGAATGTTAATATGTACACGAGGCGAGCACATACTTTTGATGTTTTAGCTTCCTAGCTTTTCTGGTTCTCCAGTTAAAAGTGGATGACAGAAATTGCGAGCACACAGGTAAAAAACACACGCACATAGACTTTTTGCTCACTGTGGCAGCAAAAACGCGCAAAAACGACTGAAGTGAGCATGGCTGAGGGGCTCAATTGTGTAGGGGAAGAAATGAAACTCAACGATAACTAGTAAACTATTATGAGAGATAAGTATGAAAGCAGGCGAAATTCTGCCATTCCAATCTTAAAGAACTGTGAGTAAGAGCAACAGTCAGGTCATTCAAATCCTGGATGTGGGCATGTTTTATCGGACACTAAACTCTGAATGGCAGGACGAAAAGTAGCGAAATAAGTCATCGTATAAATCGTGCTCATAGTAAGCAGAAAAGACTAATGCCCTTCCCCTACAGCAACAGCCAAAGCAGCTACGGCCTGCAGTGCATTTCTTCACACATTCATCTGCCATGGAATAAAGCAGATGGAGAAAAGGGACTATAAAAACATTTCTGTGCCATGATAAGCCAATGCTGGAAGTGTCGCCAACGAGATCGCTTGAACAAACACATGGGTTTTAACATGGCTGCAGCGGAAGGCCAGAATCGAGTGGAATGGAAGCGATGTCAGATCAATGTATTCCATCAATCATCGGAGCCCGTACAAAATTATAAGGAACAATTGATAATGCAACGAAATCACAACTTTTTTAGGCTAGTCGACAAGAGATCTCGTCGTGATCTGAATATGGCAACGCCCGGGATGAGGTGACTGATAGACGCAGCAAAAGCGTCTCGAACCGAGCGCCAAGAGAAGCTGACAGACCCCCCAGGAGATGAAACGAATGCCTGCATTACCAGTACGCTAACAATCGAGCAGTGCAGCACTGGCCAAAACAACCGGGAAAACTGCAAAGTGCATAGATGGAGAATTACACTATGAACTGCCAGATGTTCCCGATCTAATTCGGCTTTTCTTAAGACGGTCGTTCGGCTATATTCTTTTCTGTATCACATTTTCGGAAGTACAAGTCATCTTCCCATTATTCAATCTTTTAAAACTAACATAATTCAGATTGTTAACATAGCCGTTATCGATGTGGATTCTGACTGAAGTAAGCTATACTACCAAAACACTGCAAAATAAATAGCCGCGCGCACCAGGGCAGCCGGTGCGATCATGCGTTTTGTGCAATTCCGTTCACTGAAAGATTGCCTGCTAACGATTTTCACTGTCCCGCCGAAACTTTCATGGGGCCGTAATTAGTACTCGGACGCGCGGAAAGCTGAATTTAAAATTGCAGGATTGTATGTGGACAGAAGAAAATACCATAAAATTTAGCTTCCTGGCTTTTATGGTTCCCGAGATAATTTCCCCACTAAAATTTTTACGGGGTCGTAGGTAATACCCGAGAGCATAAGAACGCTGAATTTGAATTCGCGAAGTCTTACGTCGGTAGGGGGGTCATTACCCCAAAATTTTAGCTCCCTGGATTCCGTGGACTCCAAGATAATTTATCGCCAAAACTTTCAGGAGGCCATAGGTGGTACCCGAAAGCGTGGGAAGGCTGAATTTGAATGAGTAAGGCCGGCGTAGGCAGGGGCTTATTACACTAAAATTTCAGCTTCGTATATTCAGCGGTTCTCGAGATAATAATTTACCCGTCAAAAGTTTTCACGGGGCCGTACATGTTACCCGCAGGCAGGGGAAAGCTGAATTTAAATTTTCTGGGCAGCACATGGGTGAGGGAAATGCCACAAAATTTCAGCCTTTTAGCTTCCGTGGTTCCCGTTATAATAATTTATCCGCCCAAACTTTTACGGGGCCGTACGTGTTACCGCAGGTGCGAGGAGGCTGAATTTAAATTTGCGGGGCCGCGCATAGGTAGGGAACATTCCCCTAAATTTTCAGCTTCCTAGCTTTTGTGGTTCCCGAGTTGAAAGTTGCCGACAAGTTGCTGCGG